TGAGGATGATCAGAAGAGGCCAAGTGGGGATTTTATTTTTGCAATTTTTCTAACATAAAGTTTAGATGAATTGAGCTGGACAAAGACCAAAATATATTCTAAGTTCAATAATGCTTATAAAAATATTTATAATTGCTTATCATAGAAATAGTGGGATTTGAAATTCTTATCCTTGTAAGATATGTGTCGTTTGGTCGCATGCAGACTAGATCACCCTTTGATGCTTTTGACTTTGTGCAACGTTGATTGTCCTTGTCCAACCCATTAGGTTTTTTTTTCCCCTTATACAAAGCACTCCATATATATATATTTTGGTATTAATGAGTCAGATTAAGCAATGATTAGATTTGATCCTCAATCTTACTTGAGAAAAAATCTGAGTTGCTTAAGCAACTGGTATTTTAAATAAGAATAAGAATAGTAAAAATAATAATTATTGAGGTTTTGAAGGGAGAGGTGGGGTGGTAGAGCTTGTGAACAAGGACGTGTGGGATTAGTTATTACTTAATCGATGATAGTGATGAGCTCTCTCATTTTCTGGCTCATGGTTGAGGGTCTTAAAGGCCGTTCTAGCTGCACAATTGCTCAAAAGTTTTTCTGTCATGCTCATGCTGAAGAGCACCCCAACAGTATTTAAGTTTGTAATTGAACGTGTCAAACGAAGGGTGGAATTTTAGCTGGGAGACGTGTTTATATTAAATAAATACATGTTTGATATATAAAAAGTATTTTTTTTAATAAAGGACAAGGAAAATATATTTAGAAAGAAAAAATAGAATAGATGCATTTTCATTTCTTTTCTAGAAAACATTTTTCTACATACCAAACATGCATTGTCTCTTATAAAAATATACCTATAAGACTAAATTAACCCTTAAATTATTTTTTTTTTTTGGGGTTTCCCAATAATATCCACAATCGGCAACGATGACACTAATCTCTTAAGAAATTTGAACATTATTTAAGGAGTTGTTAGTTTAATTTTTATAATATAATAATCTTTTACAATGTGTTTTGTTCTCTCGCTCTCTATTTATTTTTAATTTTAGAGTCAGTTTGTCTTCCTACTAAATAATTAATTTATTTTTATTTTATATGGCTATTATCAATGTTCTATTATCTATATCAATAAAATTTAATAGTGTTACCTTTTATTATAAATTTATTCTTATTTTTATTATAAATGGAAAGAATAAATCAATAAAAATTATTTTTAAAAACTAAATCGATAGCTGAGACAACTTTAAAAACAAAAAGTTGCATTAACTCTAAATATTTGATATTATCATTTTATGTTCGTATATAGTTTTATAATTTTCAATATAATTATAAAAAAAAAATGAAGTATTTGAAATTTTTAATGAAATGTTTTAGCAATGTTAACAATTAAACTAAAACGTAAGTTTTAAAAATAGAAGAGGGTTCTATATAATTTTAGCAAAATAGCAGGAGACATTACTACATTTTGCTCTTAATTTAAAATATCAACACACGCAAATATGTCTCTTTGGCGCAAATAAAACAAAAAAGCCTGACACACACAAATAAGTAAACATGGGCCTAAAGGGTGTGTGGAAGAGTCTAGAATATCAAGGACAAAGCTGGGCGCATTTGGGCCTCTGTTTTTATTTCATATTTTATTTATATTATTGCATAATTAAAGAAGTAGGTTTAACAGAAAAGATTAATGTCAAACATAGTAAATCAAGATTTGAAATCCTATTAAAAAAGATGTTCATATTTAATATCTAACACTATTTAAATAAAATTGACTTTAATAAAAGAATATCTATGATAACAAAAAAATTATATGTGCATGCACCCCCCTGTCTCTCTCAGGCTAACATCCCTCTTAATTTTTATTTCACATTTCAATAATCCTATGTCTTAATGTCTCAACTGGAATTATAATCCTTTCCATTTACAAATTAGGAAGCAAAGATGACTGACTTTGTGCATACAGAGCATGCTCTAAGCCTCAATTCAATTTTTGTTGATCCATTATATTGGCCCATAATTAATTCTTGGAAAAATATTATTTTTAATCCTTATAATTTTATTGAGTTTACTTTTAGTCCATATAGTTTTTTCCCAATGTTTTCAGTCTCTATAAATATTAAAACCATTGAAAAAAGGGAAACTATAGAAACTTAAAACAAAAAAATAAAAATCAGTCAATGTTTCTGAAATTACATAGATTGAAAACATTAAAAAAAATATAGGGACTAAAGAAAAAACCTAATAAAACTATAATAATTAAAGATTATGTTTTTATTTTTATTTTTATATAGCTATCTGATTAGGTCAAATTCAAGCATTATTAGGCTTAATTAAAGATAGCTCTTTCAAAATGTTTTACGCATTTACATAGATTTGAATTCCAAATCTTGCACTTAAACAATTGCAACGTCTTCCATTGAGACCAACGGCTATTATAGTGAAAGAAATGGCATTGTAATTATCCTCAACTTTGCTCTCCCTTTATTCTCTTTTTTCACATACTTGTAATCAATTTTCTTCTCAAGTGTATGCATTTTTAAAATTTCGGTGTTTCTTCTTGTTAGCTCACTCCGCTATATTATTGTCGCAGATTTATTTCACAAATCCTCACAGGATTGCTTGAAAATTAGCTGAAAGAAAATGTCAAATTGGAAGCATTGAATGAGTTCTCTTATTGCAGCACAGATATATCTCATATAATATATGTATATTGTGCTCGCGCGCACCCCGTAATTAGGTCTATGTCATTTCACTTGAAGGATTTACCAAGGCCCCGATTAATTTGGGTCAAGTTTGGATTTTAGGTACAGTTAGTGATTCAAATAGACTGAACTTATTTACATTGGGTTTAATTTAAGTTGAATTTATTTAAATTAATTTAAAATATTCTATCATATAAAAAAAGTTAAAATAGCCAAATCCAACCATAATTGCTTGGGTTCTGGAGCTAGTCCAAATACTTAGATTATTAAATAGTATTTTATTTTATTTTTTATTTTTATTTAATTTCAATTTTTATATTATTTTATTAATAATAAAAATTTGACTATTTGGGCTAAGTCTATTTTGATTTGAGCTTGGTTCAAAGTTTTTCAAGCTTATTTAGATAGTTCAAATAAGTTTGGAGTAAAAAAAAGTTTTTAAACTCTCAAACTTGGCCCTAAAATTTTTTAGTTTATTCGAGTTAATCCGTTAGGCTTCGTTCAAATTATCTTCAGGAGGCAAACTTTATCACCAAGTATTTGATTGGATTTTTAGGATTCAAACTCGAAACCTATAATAGAGTTGATACAATCTTTGTAGAGAGAATTTTGATAAAAGTCCCTTGACCATACTTATTTAAATTTAATGCTATTAAATTTTTGAAATTTCACTACAGTTTAGGGTACTAATTTAATATTAAATTTTTAATAAAAATAAAAAAATTCATTTAAATTAATATCAGAACTGTCCTACTTTGTTTATTTTTTTACTTATGAAATAATATTCATTGCCCTACTTCACTTGTTCATGTTTTTGGAATGAAATCAAGTAAAGGTCTAGCAATGAACAAGTAAAGTAAGACAATGAACAATAATTTATAAGTAAATGAATAACATACAATATAAAAATTAACAACTTATTTTAAGATTATTTAAACATCTAAAATGAAAATAAGTTAGGTAAGGCAGTTTAACAATATTCCAGAAGTTAATTAACAAATGAAATAGGAAAGTTCTAATATTAATGTAAATGAGAGGCAATTTTGTAATTTATTTTAAAAATTTAACATCAAATCAGTACCCTTAAACTGCAGTATAATTTCAAAAATTTAAGGGTTTTGAATTTAAATAAGTGTGGTCTGCAAGTTTTTATTGAAATTCTCCCTTTAGCTTTAACTAATCTGAATTCAAGCATTGTGAAACCTCGAGGATAGCTCTCCCAAACATATTTTCTTCACTCTCATCACCTCAAAGATCGAACCTAAGAACTGATAGTCAAGAGAACTCAAACTCCTCACCATTTGTGTCAACTTGGGTTGATCATCTTTATGCCATCTAAATCAATTGAGCGGTGCATAGTTAGGAAACTTTTAACGTGCTTGGACTAGTAGCAAGGAAGTTAACCAGAGGTTTGCTCACAAGCTAACAAATGGAAGTGCGTTCACGTAGTCATGGGCTGTCTAACAAGATCACTTATTTTAGGTACACTTTCAAATTTCAAATAGGAGCTACTATTTGGTGCTGATTTGTACCTTTTAATTTATCTCAAAATGATCTCTATATTTTAATTTAAATTAATTGTTAGGTATTTTTAATATTTTATTTATTAAAATAAAAATTTATAAAAATTATAAAAAAATAATATTAAATCTGTACTTTCAATAGTACATTTACAAAATAAAATTTTTGAAAATTATAAAAATTTTTATATTAAATTAGAACACTGACATGATATATGCACTACTCAAAGCATATCTAGTAGTCAATTTGTAAAATTTAAAAATTTTAATATTAAATTAATCAATCTAAACTAAATATGAATATGCTGGATTGATGATGAAAAGATTTATTAAAAATTTTAAATTTAATAAAAATATAAGTAAAAACTTTAAACTAAACAATCCATATCTCATCAAGGATGATGAGTAATGTGGTAATCATCCCCCATCGAAGGCAATCTAAATTAAATATTAAAATTTTTATTCTAATAAAAAAATTGAAACATTTTGATATTTTCTTTACAAAACATAATTTCAATTTAATTCTTGATTCTGCAGTATAATTTCAAAATTTTTTGGGATTGATTTGAAATAAAATCTCATCCCTAATCCTATAATGAAAGTCCCCCAATTAAAATCATCCAAAAAACAAATTATGCACAACTCCAGGGCTACTATGAAGTAACAATGAGTTCTGTCTAATTATATATATTGATTGTTTTGATCTTTCAAATTTTTTTTCTTCTTTTCATTCAACATGATGTTATTCATGATCAGATCCCGACCTACATTAAAGAGATTTCTTGAACTCTAATTTCCTTGCAGTTGCCATTGCCAACCACTATTTTAGCATCACAAATATCCTTTTGTTTACAAATTGACATCAATTTGAATCAATGACTGCTGTTTTCTACCAGGCAAAGCCATTTAATAAAAAAAAACCATTAATTTAATAATTTCATGAGCAACACGTCAAGATGTTGGAAGCTTCTTTCCTTCCAAGAAGGACTTGAACAGAGTGAAAGCTCTTCTCGGCTGAAACAATGGCACTTCATGCCCTGCTCCTCGTACTACTGCAAAAGTTAGGCCATCATAGACCTCTGTCCATCCACCTACCTATATAGACCAAAAGAAACTTGGAGAGATTGGTTCTACTTCTACAATTGAATTTAACTTTTATTGCATGTGTCTCAATAAACTTTGAAACAAGTTTGGGAAAAAATTACCCGTCCACCAGAGTACCATGGATACCAACGAGTATTAATCTTGAGGTTGAGACTATTGAGGGAAAATCTAGTGGCAGTCACTGGTACCACTGAATCTGTGTCCCCACTGCAGTATTGTAGCAAAGGTATTAATTATTGAGATATTATTGAAAAACAGGTTAACTTGCCAGTTGAACCGGTGAACTGTTAAACCAATGTCTTGACCGATTTAATGACCGGTCCAATTTTCAATACCTTAAATGTAACATTGAATTGTCTCAGAAGTTAACTAAGGAAGATTGCTTACAACATATCAGCATTTTGTATGTTACCATATTTTAAATATAGATTTCTTACATAGATTTGATATGAAAAGGACAAATGAGGTTTATTCATAGTGTTTTGCAGGAATCAATGAGTAATATTCATAGCTTCATATATAAATTTTGGTCTCATGGTAGTTGTTACTTTTCTTTAGTGGTTTTAAGTTAAAACTATACCTGAAAACCCAGACTCTCAAACCAGCCGCAATTAACTCTTTGTAAATGGGCAATACAGAAACTGCAGAGTCATTCCAGTATTTTAAGAGCACATCGCTGTTCAATCATCAAAAGGTAAGAAAACATTAAACTACTAATCTCAGAAAACTTCGAAACAAAGAATATCATTATGAATAGAGAACTGTAAAATAGCAGACCTGCATGAAGTCCATTTGTAAGGAATGCCTGTAACATTTGCATGCATTGCTTTTTGCACTTCAGGGAGATTATAGTATTTCTCTGCATAATTTTCAGTGCATGGATCATACCCTGAAATCCTATGTAAAATTGTACTCTTGAGCCTCAAGTGCCGCACAGTACTGCTACTGTTGGTCGGGCATGTAGGGGTATAAATACTGTACTGATCAATGCGTCCAAATTCATGGTTAATAGCATAACGCACAGTATCATCACATATTTTAGATGTTTTCTCTGCCGTGAAATTGCAGTGTGTGAGGATAGTTTTGTATGATTTATCAGATATCATACAATGGCTCCACCAATATGTCACAGTTCCAATCCCATCATAGTAGTTGTCTGTCACAGCATTTCCCACCTGCATTTTTCCAGTTACAAGTAAAAATGTTAAAAGAAAAGAACAAAATGTGATGGAAGCAAGGTAAAAGTATGTCTTTTGGTATTGTGGCTAAGGGTATCACTAAGACTTTTCTTGGACAATCCCCTCTTTGGAAAATTTTAACCCCTTTTTTGGAATGGAAGCAAATTGAGAGAGAAAACTAGGAGAGAAAATTAGAAGAAAAAGACATTTTCCCTTCATAACATAAAGTTCTTCCTTTAGTTCTCCCCTTCTGTAACAGAAAATCAGGGGAAAACAAGGGTAAAAAATGTCTTTTTCTTTTAATTTTCTCACAGTTTTCCTTTTCTCTCATCCCTATTTTTTTTCCCATTCCAAACAAAACCTAAAAGAGCAATTCTTCATATCAAAATGCTGTATTCAACATTTTTACTTCCTCAATACTCTCAAAAAGAATTGAACTTTAATTGATAAGACTGACACCTTTTTTATTAGCTACCAAGAGTATATTAGAGTAAGAAGAATTGACTTACAATGAAACCTTTGAGATTAATGATCTGAGGATTGGCTTTATTATAATGATAGATTTTTTGAGCCAACTGGGGAACATAGTGCCCTAAACAGAAGAAAATGGAATAAAATGTTAACTTCTGCTTTAATGATAACCAGCTAAAATTCTGCAGCACTTGTATGATAATTGATAGGCTGGCAGTATCACTTATCATTCACCTGCATAACTCTCCCCGGAAATGTAGAAGTCTCTGTACTGATACTGTGGGAATCTTGACATCCATCTGACTAGAAAATTTAGAGCATCCTGAGCTGTGTTTCAAAATTCAGAATTCTCATATTAATAACTGAAAGTAAATAAAAGGGTTCATAAATATTGACAAAAATGAATGATGTCAATTCAATAAATTCTAAACATCAAAATCTTACCTGTCCTTTCGTCCCCAGAAGTTTTGAGGTCGGAGCTTGTATTTGTGTAGGAGAAACCTACACCAGCAGGTGATTCAAGAAAGAGAATATTTGCTTCTGAAGACAACCAAAAAGAAACTTATTAACTCTTCAGAAAATTGTCATTCTTATAAGAATGGGCTAATAGGTTAGAAAGAGAAAAAAAATTATCTGAATGATGACCGTTACCTCTGTTCCATGAATACGTGTTAAGATACAATGAAGAACCGGTTTTATTTATCCGGAATGGCCCAATTTCCTCTGATGCCCCATATGCCACTGATGAGCAACCCGGCCCTGAACAAGCAAAAAGTTACAGGTCTGGTTAATTTAAGCATACAAAATGTTAATTCAATTCTTGGATCAGAGGAGTAATAAAATGCTTGCATGTGTTTTGTACGCTGTTATAAACCTATGAGAGTGGTAAGAACGTACAGACGATGAGAAGCACAGTTTAATCCATATGCTAGAGAAGAGATATCATTGTTTTGGTTGCAAAAAGTTATGTATCAATATATGATATGAAATCTCTAACAAGCAAGACTTCCCATTATTTCTTATGTAAAAATTATAAATTCCATCTCCACTGACAAAGCAGACCAACTTGTTTAACTGCTTGTTAGGCATACATAACAATAACAAGCTTATCTTATTAGGTGGGCTCAGCTATATAAATTACATAATATCATTATACTCTATCAAATTCAACAACCAAACCTTTGGATATGTTGTTAACCAAAAGTTATTGAGCATTGTCTTTGGTCTTCCTTTAGAGGGTAGAGGAAATAATCTAGAATCTACCACCACATATTAACTTATTTTATGCTTGCTAGGCATAATGATTTTAAATTATAAATAATCTACAATCACATATTAACATATTCCAGATAAAATACAAAAGAATGTATGTAGATCAGCTTATATCCTATTCATCTCTTTATAATTTCTTTTTTGACGTCTTTCAATATATATTATATAAATTTATTCTTATTATAGACATGCAAGATACAAATCTGTAATGATTCATCATTTCTCACCTATTTAAAAAGGGGCCAAGAATTGCCAGATAACAAGCAGCACTATTTTGTGAGGCATGAGCTGTTCGCTACATGTTATCTGATAAAAACCAACTAGGTGACAAAAGTTAAAAATTATTCACTAACCTAATTTGAGAAGGTCTACACATGACAGACCAAAGCAGAAATGTGAGCTAGCCTTGCTAAACTCTTGATATCTACTACCTTTTATTTGACTTGTCAATTTCACAGACAGGTAGAAGGCAACTTTCACTACCTTGAATTTCATCAAGCATGAATCATTACCGTGACAGAGACAACGACCAACAAGAAAACAAAGTTGTTTGGTTCACACATCACTGGCTCCAATTTATAAAATTCAAACACTACTAGGACTTAACAAATTGAAACCTAAAAACATCTGGGTCACAGAATTTCAAGTTGCCCTTGCCCCACACAAGCACGACGCAGAGAATCAAGCATGTCCACCACCACAAAGTCCACAAACCACCATCACCAATCCTTTCTGGGCTCTGGCTACGCGTGCTTCGAAGAGGGGAAGAGAACACAGTCACACAGTAGGGAAAAGGGTTGGGGGGGGGGAGAGCATCTTTGTGTAGGGACAGGAGGGAAAAGGTAGTTGGCTTTGTTCTTGTTTGTTTTTGGCGGAGATGTGAACAGAGAACAAAAAGAAAAGTGAGGAAGAAGAAGAGAAAAGGGGAAATTGGAGGCACTCGATGTGTTCTTATTGGTTTTTGGAGGGTAATGGAGATTGATCCAAAAGGAGGACCAGACGTCAGGAATAGAAGGGAATAAAAGCTCAAGAAAGATACAGACAGAGAGAGATCACGAGGATTCATGTGGGTAAAATTTCTTTTTTATTTTTTTGCTGATTGAAAAGAACTCATAGTCATGTATACACTGTGCTGTTTGTATATTCAACAGCCAGTTGTCCTCTATTTCCATCAGTTTCATTTTTCAAACGTCTTCTTCCTCAGAATCAGTGACAGCGATAAAGCGTATCTTAGCAGGAAACAACACGTATTTGCTTATGTGCGCAATAGGGGGACCGGGGAAGCCAATAATATATTCTTGGTCAAAAGAGAGGCCAGGCATCTATACATGGAATGGAACATGATATTTGCCATCCAGTCCCATTTTAAAAACATAAATAAATTGAGAGAATTAGTGAAGTATACAACTCTGTTTTCACAACTATTTTCCTGGCTTTTGTTTTTTTTCATTTTTAAAATAGTTCATATTAAAGTTTAAAAAATACAAAAGTAAGCCTCGATACTTTTTTTGCATTCCGCTTTTAATTTTTATAGTTTTATTTCATTATTTTAGTCCCTTTAATTTTATCTATCCATGATATTAATCTCTGTAATATTAAAAATGCACACCAGGAAGATGGCCGAGCACTAGCAGAATAAATTTAATTGAAGTACTTAATTCGGTGAATTCCTTTGATGCCACAACGCTGATACGAAAATAAATTGATGAGGTTTGATTAAAACTGAACGGTGAAGGGAAAAAATCTTCCGTTTGTATTTGGCTCAAATAGAATATAAAAAACGAGGGCAAGCACAACTAGGATAGAGAACATGTTAGCCCAGAAGTCTCAATCATCAGAAGATGAAAAATTAACAAAGTTAAGTACATATAAGTGAAATTAACTCCGTGAGTGTTAAGTCATGATCCTTATGTGTATTTTTAAAATTATAAAGACTAACAATGTAGACAGATCAAATCAAAGGAATTTAGAATAATGGAATAAAACTAAAAAAAAAAAAATCAAAGTACATTGGGCTTCTTGTTGTATTTTCTCTAAAATTAACAAGGCCAAACCTTTTTGACAAAAGAAATCACAATACATTCTGCATTCTATTTTAAAAATCAAGAATAAATTATATATATATATATATATATTATTTTTAAGAAAAAATTATAGAATTTACTCACAATCAAACATAAGATTTCCTTCATTTATAATTATCTCCATGTCATGATATATATATATCTATAAGAGAGGACACTACCAATTAAAATTAATATAAATAATAGAAGCTCTCGTTTCATAAATAGGTAGCTAAAGTTTCAAACTTTAATTATTGTGTATGTAACAATTTAATTGAAAGAACCTAACTCCTTAATCTTTTTTGGGTAAAAATAAAGGGCACATGAGTGAAGAAGCTAAAACCAAGAAGGTGGAGACAATTAGTGGCGATATAGGAGGGGGGAAGGTCAGGTGAGAGGTGTTTAATGGTGGGCTCAAGGACAAAACTACTCATACATACTAGTTTGGCAGATTTATAGCTTAGAGAGAGTCAACAATAGTTGGTCACTTGTAATCCTATTCTTTTCAACCGTCCTATTACCATAGTCTTGTTATTATTATACCACTACTGTACTGCCTAGCTACCCCTCATCAATATATCACTAATCTCTTTGTTTTTTTTACTCTTCAATAATCACTCATCACCACATCAAACTCATCTACTTCACTGCTCAATACTTCCCTTGATGTTATATATAAGTTACATTTTAAAAGAAGTTGATAGCCCTTTTTTTTTTGTAAGTTATTTTACAAAAAAAGAGAACTATTAATTACTTTCTTTCAATTTTACCATTTAGAGCCGTTTGGATTTCATTGAATATAATTAATTTTAATTATATTAATTATTTTATAACACAATTTATTTGAAAATTATTTTTTAAAAATTAATTTTAGCTGTGCAAATTATCATAAAAAATATTACTTTTTAAAATTAAATTATTGATAAAGTTATATTTAATATTATTAAATTTGTTAAACTTTATTTAAGAGATAAAATATATTATTTAACAGTAAAATTAAATTTATAAGCAACTTTTTAAAGATTATTAAAAACGTAATTCTAGTTCAATAATTAATTATCAACTTTGTTGACTGTTTGAGTAATTTTTTTCAAAAATCGATTATTTTGGCTCAAAAGTTGATTTTTATTTGAATCCAAAAAGGCTGTCAGTAATTTTCCTGAGTAGAGTAAAAAGTCCAGAGGGGAATGAGTTCTCTAAAGTTGAGAATTCGTGGATTTCAAAAGGTTTGTTTGTTTTTTCCTTAAAAAAAAAGGAAGATTCCATAAAAATTCAGGAATATTAACTTTAGATTATTTAAATTTATATATGAAAGATATAATTTAAAGATAATAAATTTAATACAAATAATTTTTGTGCAAAAAAATAAAAAATAATTTAATTTTTTAGATAATAACAATGATATAATTACCTTAACTAGGTTAGTCTTTTGTACAGTAAAAAAAAAAAAAAACTCAACCGTGTTCAGCATCCGTTACCTCAATGCATAATAATCAGTTATGGTCAGAAAAAATTTGAAATATCAGTTATGGTCATAATAATAATAAGCTCTGTAATCATTTTCGTTAACTGCATGTATGTATGATGGTTGAGAGCTACAGTGAGAAAGCATCACTGTAAAAGGCAAAACAAAATAATAATAATAATAATAAAAAGCTTTCGTATCACTTTCTGGCATGAGTAATAACCAAATATATACAAATGATCTTTGAAAATGAATAACAATGGGTTCTTACTTACCTCCATTGAGCCAGAGAACAAGAGGCTTTGTGTGAGGGGAAGTGTAAGCCTCGGTGAGCCAGTAGAACAGTGCTCTGCCGTGGTGGTCGTCGACGGTGACGTAGCCGGAGAACTGAGAAAACGGGACTGCCGGCTGTCCAGGGAGGGCCCAGATTCGATCATCCTCTTGCGAAGCCAAAACTGTGGACAGGCACGACAGCAAGAAGAAGAAGAAGAGAAGCAGAAATTTGGTGTTGATGATCAGTGCCATTAATATGAATGGTCAAAGGCTAAAGTAATAATAAAAATATTGAATATTAGATTAAACAACACAGAGACAGAGAGGGTGAAGAGAATAGTTTTTGGATCTGGGTTCTCTCTCTGATGTGATATTGTACTCAGAGAGAGAGAGAGAGAGAGAGAGAGGGGCTAGAGGGTGAGATTATTAGAGGAAAAGAGAGGGTATATATATTGAGGAGGTGAAGATGGTGATGCCACAATTATAAGTTGCTGCCATAATAATACAAAGAAGGGTACGACTTGTATTTCTTCATTATTCTGTACAACTGCCTCCAAGTTGGCTTTTTCCCTGTGGAGAGAGAGAGAGTGCGAGAGAGAGAGATGCATGGTCCTACATGTGTTTATTCAAACTCTAGATCACAATCCCATGAGTAAGTTCGTCAAACTCATACATACATATAATATATATGATTTTTTTTTCCTAAAAAAATGGGGCTTTACAATTATTTAATTAAAATAGAGTGAGGGATGTGCATATATGGCAATTGTTAGGTTCTGAATCCTCTCATCATCCTATTTCTCATTTTCTTCTCCTCATCTTATCTCCATCCATAAATAATAAAAATGAATTATTCATATTTAATTGTTTGTTATCAATAAATTTAATTGTTTTATAAAATAATTATCATATAAAAATAAATAAATTTAAATTGTTAAAATTTGACTTGCACAATTCACAGTTGTGTACTGTTATTAATACAAAATTAAAATTAACTTTAATTGTTGGTCGATCAAAAAATGATAAAAATTTTAAAAATTATAGAAATTAATCAAAATATTACAAAAAAAGACAAAAAATTGTTTAATAGGACCCAAAATTAGAGATAAGGACAAAAATATAGAATTAAATGAGGATATTTGTTAACAATAAGGGTCATCTTACACCACTTTCAAAAATTGAAGAACAATACACCAAATATAAATTTAGGGTCTTAAATGCTCTTAAACGTTAATTTGACATTTAACCCAATCTAAATTAGTCTTTAGTAATATCGAATGCCAGAAAGTCATAAGAAAAGGCTAAGATCTTAGGTGGCATTTGCTTCAAATTGTAGGATTTCTAGAAATAACTTCTCTTATATAGTAATCACCATTTTAATGTAAGCATGCTTCTTTAAGCTGTTACTATAGTATAATCATGTTTAGTTGACAATAATCATGGGAATAATCTCTCCCATAATAATCATCATTACTTAAATATTGAGAATTTAAATTAATGATATTACCCATGTTAATCCTCATTCTCCCCTCTCTATTAGTACTCCATTGTTTTCCTTTAAAAGAAAAATCTATATTTAGTCATTATAATTTCAATTCATTTTATTCTATCATGTGATGTGTCAAAACAAAATCATCACTAACAATAGTGGGGCAAAAGTATTTGTTTTCTCATCGCTATATTATTATGTGTGTGTCATGTATTCATACATATTATATATCTATCTCTCTCTCTATATATATATATATAAACAAAAATTAATTTAATGTACATATGTAAATATGTCAATATTAATAATTTTTACTTTTCATGCACAAGAAGTAGTTTTGAATGGACTCTATAGATAAAAATAATGACAATAATACTTGAATATTGGATTTCTTAAAAAATATTTTATTGTAATTATAGGCATAGGGAGTTGGCGGTGATGAACATAATTTTGTTGGTTTGTTTGACGGATAAAGGTTGTTATAATAAGGCAATGCAGGCATTAAATTTGGAAGCATGCATGTGTGCATGGTGGCTTTATTATTATATCAATTGATTTGATAAACGGCCGGTCTCGCATATGAGAGTTGACTGGCTTGATCTTGATCTTTTAAATAACATAATATAATAATAATAATAATTATTATTATTTATTTATACATAATTTGAAGCATTTTCACTTTGTCAAACTAAATGGTTGGCTCCTACACTCGTGCATTAAGTTTCATGTTGACTTACTTTTCAAAACCAATTTTTGCTTATACACTTTAATCAGTTTTCAAAAAGCTATTGTTATAATTAATTTGCTCCTGCTACAGTTCACATGATTGAAGAGACATGCTACTTTCCATCCTTAATAAAGCAAATTTTATTTTATTTTTCTATTACTCCCTCTATTAAAGTGAATCCTATTTAAAATATAGTTAAATATTAAATGTGAATATTTTTTTTAATAAAATTTTAAACTTTGGTTTAGGAATTGACCCTTTTCTCAATCTATCCCCCCTTAATAGTTTTTTTCTTTTTAATATAAAGAAAAGTTAACTAATTAATTATTTGTTAATTTTACTGGTTGTTTATTCATTATAATTTGAATTCCTGAATTTAATATTGTTATTAATTGTAAAGAAGATTAAAATTAA